TTTTTTTTCTTGCAATCAAAACACTAGTTGAAGCCTTTTGCAAAGAATTAAGGTTTGCTCTGTGATGCATTCATGTTGTTAGTTGCTGCATGATTTTTTTTCTTTTTTCTTTTATTTTGCAGTCACAACACTGGATATGTTTTGCCCTGGGGTGCATTTAAAAAAATTTGTTGGGCTGCATCAATTGATTTGTTATCAACTACTAAATTATTCTGCAACTATTTCCAGATTTTTAGATTCTGCATGCTCCTACAGTACAGGCAGTGAAATGCACAGTCGGAAAGGTTGTGCAATAACAACAAGATGCATTTTATGCATGCGGTCGAAACACTGGTTGAAGCCTTTTGCAAATAAGTAAAGTTCGCTCTGTGATGCATTCATGTGCAGTTTTTTAAAAATATTTTTGTGTTTCAACAATTAATTGATTAGTTATCAGTTACTAAATTATTCTGCAACTTTTTGAAGATTCTTAGTTGCTGCATGGTTCTACAGTCCAGGCAGTGAAATGCAAAGTTGAAAAGGTTGTGCAAAAATAATAAGACAAATTTTGAGCAAAAAGAAGAAAGAAAATTAATTATTTTTTATAGTCAAAAACCTGGTTCAAATTGTAACTGTTTGCAAAGAATTAAGGTCTGCTCTGTGGTGCATTCATGTGCAGTTTTAAAAAATATATTTTTTGGGTTGCAACAATTATTTGATTAGTTGTCAACTATTAAATTCATTTGCAACTGTTTCCAGATTTTTAGTTGCCACATGCTTGTACAGTACAGTCAATGACAAGTGATAAGGTTGTGCAATAACAGCAAAACATGATAAAAAACATTCCTGAAAAATAGAGAAAGTCATGGATAATGTGGAATGTAGAGATTTGAAACTACATTGCAGTATATATAATCTCTGATTCTTTAATCTCTGATTACAGCTTCTGAAATATGAATATCTGAAATGCACTTATTTAATTGACTTAAAATAAATCTACAGATTAGTTTCTAGCCTTGCAAACATGAGTATTTGATGCATACATGACAGTAAGCTGAACATCTTTGGGTTCCAGACTGCTGGTTCAAGAATGCAGGAGATTTGAGGATGAGGCTTGTAGAAAAACGGTTACAGACATTTCTCACTATATTGCAACATTTTCCTAGACAAGAAAGGGAAATGATTGAATTTGTGTTAATAATTAATTAGCAATTTTCCAGATTTATTGTTCAGTTTTCATTTAAAAGCCTTTCGTTCTGCATGTTTAGTGAGGTTATTGTGTATTTTAAGGTGTAGCCTGCACTCTCTCTGCTCTGTGCTCCACTGGGGAGCTCAATGCCCATATCTGTTGTTTGCGCCATGAATTGATTCAAAAACATGCTGAAAGTGTTTGGCTAAAACGGCTAAAGGCTCAAAACAGTCACATCAGTGCATCCAGGCCTGCATCAGTCAGTGTTACAATCACCCACTCAGTAAAATATGGACTATGGTGCACAGCGGCGCCTCCAATCTGTGAGGAACGGTGTTTGTCAGCACCAGTGACGGGTGTTTTTTTCATCAGCCACAGAGCAAAAGTGGTGTTTCACTCAGTGCTTGACTGATGGACGGCTCATCTGTCTCCTCAGCAACCATGGAGACGGACGGAGAGCAGAACCAGCAGGGGGCCTCGACCAATGGGAGCGCTGCGTCTGGGACGAGCTCCCGGCCCTCTCCGATGAACTCCATGTCTCTGTATGAAAGACAGGCGGTGCAGGTAGGTGTGGATGTTTTTGTGAAAATGACTTTGAGTTTTGAAAATGAGAATATTTTGGTCATCCTTCTCTTTCTGACACACTTTAAGAGGAGTTTTTGTGGGTTAAGCGTTGGTTAAAGTAAGATTTAGGTTGTGATCAGGGTGAGGCATTTAGAATGAATTCGAGACTTTACTGTTGCCTCAAACACTGGGGATCACAGAATCTTTTATATCACATCTTGAACAATGCTTGCTCATTAAAGTTAGTGTCCTCAAATGATTTAAGTCATATCTGAGCTTCTCGATTCACTCGACTGCAGCTTTCACTTACTTGTGGAGTCCCTCACGGCTCCATTTTGGGCCCACTCATCTTTTTCATTTTATATGCTGCAGTCAGTGCAGCCATTGCTGGGCTTAAGCCTCTGAACCACAAGCAGTGCATTTGTTAATTATTTTTTTAAAGTCTTGTCATAGTTACACTCACTGTGGGCTCATTTTTCACTGCAGTATAAAGAGCCACACCTTTAAGAAAACAATACAAACACGGCTGGAAGTAGAGGCAACTCAAAATATCTTCTGTGCAGCATGACATTTATAATGAAATAGCTCCCAAAAAAATAAGGAAAAACTACATTTGAATTTCTTTGATTCTTTATTTTGCAATTATTGAAAAAAACTGCACACATGTACAACATGATAACAAGTCCCCACAAGTATTAACAATACTGTAAAAGAAAAATGGTAACCGCTATAAATATGATAGATATTTAACTACTTCATTTGTTTTTCCTACCTGTTTACTATCTGTTCTGTGTAAACACAGCCTGCAGTTCAGTCAAGTTCAGCTAAAAAGTCACTTAATTGTAGTGATGTGACCATTTTTCACAGTTGAGTCACTAATGGCTTCTTGGTTTGTTTGTTTTTTTGCAGGTAAAAGGTTTATTTCTGGAAATGCTTTAAATAAGAATGTAGTAATTTTGATTTAAAAAATCCAGATGGTTAATTTTCCACTGGAATTTCATGTCACAGATGAATGTTGGGAAGTCTAAATCTGACAGTACTGTCTGGCTGACAAATAATGTCATTTTGGTCTTTTTTTTTTTTTTTAAAGATAACTTGTCTGTTGGTTGGCTTTGGGGTTCGGCGGGTTAAATGACTATCGCCATATTTCCTGTCTCGCTTGAACCAAACTGTATATCTCTTCCACCTGCAAGTAGCAAGGAGCATTGATTCAGCTGGTGAGTTATTGTCGGGCCAAAACTAGGCTGCATGCCTGGGGATTAGATAGCACATATACAGGTCTACATTCAGGTGGAGGGGTTCAAAATGGGACTACAATGAGTTTTGAGTTGTTGACACAGATTCAAATCTGAGTTTAAATATATGGAAAATGTCACAGCTGGCTTCCAATATAACAAAGCAACAATTGTCAACTTAGTGTGAACTGCTTTTAATGAACTCCAAATGAACTTGAGAGCATTGCAATAAACAATGTAATATTCCAAATTCAGAATTAATGTAACATTTTTATTTCCGCATTTGGCTACAGTGTAAACACAGCCTGTTTGTGTATCAGTGGCAGAGAAGGGATGGCAGATTTGTCTTTATAACGGATGATTTATGTGTAAACTGATGGACAGGGATGAAGAGTGACTGAAGCAGGGAGGTGGAGAAGAGAGATTGAGTCTTGCAGGGTTGATGGAGGCTCAGTGTTATTTTCTCAGGCTTTTGTCACCCTGCACAGCCATCTGTCTTTGTCACCCAGCACCCACTAATCCAGCCCGCCACGCTCGCTTTCATCCCTCAACTTATTACTGTACCAGCCTCTGCTCATACATCAGGCAGCTGGCAGGAGGCCGCTACATCGTCACTCCCTCTCTGCCCTCATTTCACTCAATCTGCTCATCTTTTCTCACAGTTTTCTTGGTACTGTACTACTTTTGTTCCCTCCTAATTTTTCTTATTTTCTCTATCGTGTCTCCTGCCTCTTTTTCTCCCCCTTCCTTCCACATCTTCCTCTGTCGGTCGTTGTAGCCATCCCTCTTCTGTCACTGTGTCTTCCCTTCCCCTTTCCTCGACTTCCCTTTATCTCTCTTCAGTGGTTTTATGGCCCCTTCAGTTTTAATTTTTCTGCTCTGTTCCTCCCTTCAGGCCCTGCAGGCACTACAGAGGCAGCCAAATGCAGCTCAATACTTCCAGCAGCTGATGCTGCAGCAGCAGATCAACAACGCGCAGCTGCAGAACCTGGCTGCTGTGCAACAGGTAAAGGTGTGTGTATAAAGTTTTCTAAATTTCACTGTGGCCAACTTTATGTAAAGACACTGTTTATGAAAAGCCCATATTCTGCACATCATGCGTTCATAATTTCATTTCTGGGTCTACAAGAATATGTTTACATGCTTCGATGTTCAATAGACTTATTGCTTTTTTCTCAGATTGTGTGCAGCGTTGTAAATTTGCAGACGCTTTACAGCAGAGGTGTCAAACTCTGGTCCTCGAGGGCTGTAATCCTGCATGTTTTAGATGTTTCCCTCTTCCAACACACCTGATTCAAATGATCAGCTCATCATCAAGCTCTGCAGAAGTCTGATAACGATCCTGATCATTTGAATCAGGTGTGTTGGAAGAGGGAAACATCTAAAACTTGCAGGATTGCGGCCATCGACGACCAGGATTCGACACCCCTGCTTTACAGGAAAGGATGAGCCAAAAAACAGATATGCAGTGAATATGTAAAAAGTTTTCATTCCCTTTGAAAGTTTTCCTCTTTTATTCCTTTCATTTTGAATCATAATCAATTTAATTTGGCCTTCTTGACAAGAATTTAGAAAAAGATTCTTTTGTCAAAGTACAAATTGATTCCTACTTTGTAATGTCAGAATATAAAATGTTGCATAAGTAATCGCAAATTCTCAATTCGACTAAGATCTGGGCTCTCCCTTGGCCACTCTAAAACATTCACCTTGTTGTTTTATAACCATTTCTGTGTAGTTTTGGCTGAATGCTTCTAATCATTGTCTTGCCTACAAAGAAATCTTCTCCAAAGTCGCCTTGTCCTCTATTATTTCGCTCTACTTTGCTGCATTCATTTTACCTTCACCTTTACAAGCCTTCCAGGGCCCGAGAAGCATCCACGTTATGATCCTGCTACCACCATGCTTTCACAGTGGGGACGATGTGTTTGTGATGATGCACACTGTTTTGCGTCAGCCAAATGCAACGTGTAATTTGATCCGAGCTCAGACCAAAGAACCTTCTTCCAGTTCACTTCAGAGTCTCCCACATGCCTTCTGTCAAACTGTAGTCGAGACCTTCATAAGTTATTCATATGCTTTAACTATTTTCCCAAGAATTTTGCAAAGAACTGACAAAGCCAAAGAAAATAAATGATAACCAGAGGAGTCCCTGAGCAAAATAAAATTGCTGGAGCCTCCAGCAGCATTCAGCATGCCATAATAAACTCCCATGAAAACCACAAGAAAATGAAGGGAAAACCATGGTGATAGCAGATGCCGGGACAACTGTGGTGGGTTGCCTGAAATGTAAAAAATGGTGTCTAAAACAAAGAGCTGCATTTTTCCTCCACCGCATGACAGCCTCTGTAAACACCTCACTTTTGATTTAGTAGGAATTGATGGAAACCTAAAACCTCTGCGCTGTTTCTCTTCCTTTTCTTCTTCCTCCCAGGCTACTCTGGCTGCCAGCCGTCAGTCAAGTCCCTCCAGCAGCAGCTCTTCTCAGACCACCAGCACTACCGCTGTATGCACTGTTGTTTTTCCTAAAGCCAATACAAGCCAGCAAAAAATGTTCTAAAACTGGTGCCACTGTGATATTTTCTCCCAGTTCAGCCACCTTTTTGAGTAAATAATTAAAAACATTCAAATTATATGCATTAAAGTGCCACATTGTCATTCCTCAGGCCAGTGTAACGTCTGGATCGGGATCTACGACCAGCAGCCGTCCTATGGGAGCCTCAGCGACATCCACAATCAGCCAATCAGTGCTGCTGAGTGGGACGGCAGGTGGGCAAGGACAAATGTACCTGAGGGTGAGTTTTATCAAACAGCTGATCCCTACCGCCACCTGACACAAGCCCTGTTTCTGTGTGCTAAACGACTGTCCTTTAATCTTGCAGGTCAACCGCTCCCTGAGAGCCCCCATCTCCTCGCAGCTCATCTTCATGCCCGGCAGCACGGCAACTGCTGCTGTGGCAACCGTCACCCAGCAACCACAGGCTCAGCAACAGCAACAGGAAGTGACTCCAGCTTCCTCCTCCAGCAGCCAATCAGATAATGATCAGGTTGGTGGCAATGATGCAGAAAATGTACTCTGTGTCCAGTTACTTTGTTCAACACTGATTCCTTCCGCAGCAAGATAACAACGGATCACTATTTTCGCACAAATGTTTCCACCTTGTTTCTATCTGTAGGTGCAGAATCTCGCCATGCGAGGTGTGTCCAGTCCCAAAGGTGTGGGTGTTAAGACTGAAGCCCCCGAGAGGAGTGACTCAGGTAAGGGGAAAATTAAGGTAGCCTGCTACCACAACAGAATCTGTGTCTGTTGGGTCACACAAAACACAACAACTGCTTTTCCCTGAAACTGATTCATAACATTGGCTTAAGCCACACGACAATGGTTTGCAGCTGCACTTGAGCGATGTGCACATGCAGCACATCGTTCGACAAGCTCACGTGTCCACAGTGTACTATGAAGTATACCTGTGTGGCCATAACAACCGAGTGGATGCTTTCCACTCGCTCCTGCTAATCAGATTAGGTTCCCACTTCTTCTTCCTTCAAATGAAATGAAAACCAAAGAGTCACTGTTTTACCACAGTTTGTAAGCTTCAGTGCTCATCACAGATGGTGCTTGACGTGTTTACAAAACAGGACTCCCAGGAAGTGTTAGAAGTGTTGCAGGAGCACCGGGAGCAGAGTAGCTCTGCACAAGGAGTCTTTGCTGAGGATGGTGGCCAAATTTAAATCAGTTTGGCATCTACTTTGAACTTGTTGATCACATCTCATATAACATGACACTGCAGTTTCCCTCCAGATTTGTTTTGGTTTTACAGCCCACAACTTTTCTGCTTACTGTCGCTGCTCTCTTGAGGATCAGCATCCGTAAATGTCGGCTCTACATTTCATTATCAAACTAAATGTTCATGTTTTACTCAATCACCCGTATTTAAAGTGTCTTGTCACTGCCCTAAGTGGCCAAACACTGCTTTATTCATGCAGGTTTCAATGTGAATATACTTTAAGACTTAACTTATTTTTCTGTTTTTTTTTTTTTTCCAGCTGCCTACTCTTTGGTCCAGCCCTCCCACCAATCGAGCGCCCAGTCCCCTACTAAACCAAGCCAGCCTCAGCCCCAGCCGCCCCACATCAAGATCCCCACCTACCCCCAGCCTGCGAATCTCAAAACCCACTCCTCCTCTTCCTCTGGTGCCTCATCTTCCTCCTCATCCTCCACCTCCTCCATCCCCCTCTCCCAGCTACTGCTTCACGGAACCCGAACCCTGACCACAGGGACCACAGCTCCCACAGCAGCACACACTCTGGTCCTAACATCCAACGCGGGATCTCAGCCCCACGGTTACCCCGTTGGCACGGCAACCATCAAACCAGCGGTAAACGCTCAGACTCTGGTGGTGCAACCTTTGCAGAAAACCTCACTCAGTGCCGAGAAATCAGGCCACGGAAACGGACCCATCCCCATCCAACCCAAAACTTTGCAAGGGTTGCGTCTGCCTCTCCAGCTGCCTTCTAGGAACCCTCCTCCCATCCTGCCCGCCCCACCGCCTGCCAGCAGCTCCACCCAGCCTCCCCAGCCACCACACATCCCGGTGCAGATAGTGGGGGCCCGACAGAGCACCCTGGGGAACGCCCAGGCTCTCGCCTTGGCCCGGGGCAGCTGCAGCCAGGACGGAGCCGCCGTCCTCAGCAGCTCGTCCAGCCTGCTTACCATGGTGGCGTCCATCGCTTCCAGGGAGGGCGGGGTCGTGGGCAGAGGGGTGGGGCTAAAGACGCTTCAGTCGCCCCAGGAGGCTCCCCCGTTGGCTCAGGTGTCTCATGTGCATCCGCAGGCCAATCAAAGCTCGGGACAGAGTCAGAACGGACCCCTGTCTTCAAACCCCGCCTCCTCCCAATCCCCTGCTGTATCGTCTCCTCCCCCCTCGCTGTCCTGCTCCTCCCTCTCTCTCCCCCTGGTGGCTGAAGAGCAGAGAGGAGCATCGGTCGGTGTGACCACCAACGGAGACTCATTGGGAGCTCAGACGCCGCAGGTCAGCTGATTACTGTTTATTAGTCACAATTGAGAAAACTGATGATGAGAAATTAGATTTTTGGGATTATTCTGAGCACAGGTTTCTTCTTCCTCATCCTCTTTTTTCCTGTTTAATTAAATTTCTACATGCCATTCCTTCATTCCAATGGAATACTAGAACAATGTAATATGAATACAAAAACAAAATATAACTGTATTCTATTAACATTACAGAAAAGGGGACATATTCAGATTGCTAATACATTTAATAAAACTGGGTATTATTAGCATTTTTACCCCCGCTGAAAAACCAACGCTGGTCCCTTTGTGGTACATTGCAGTTAGCACTCATTTACTTTGCTCTACAATTTCACACCTGTCACATTTATATATATATATCTGCAGCATGAGACAGCAGAAGGATTCACAAATGTGTCCCCAAAGAGAGAAATAGCTGTACACATTTACACACAAAGAATAACAGCAGTAACCTCCCTAACCCTCACTGTGAGCTTATTTTTCACTACAATGGATTTTTTTTTTTGGAACTAATTGTCTCTTTAGAAAATGAATTAAACTTGAGCTTAAAATCATGTTATTCTACATGTCTCATTTAATAATTTGCACAAAATGTATTCTATAAAAAAACTGCAAATTCAGCCTTGACCGACAGTCATGTCACACAAGTTTGGAGAGATTTCGGCTGAACTGCAGGTTGTGTTTACACAGCGAGGATATGGAAACAAGTCTAAAAACACAAGTCGTAGCATATCTGTAGTATGTTAATTCACCTTTTTATAGTATTGAAAAGTTGTTTCAGTCTTTGTTAAATAAATAATCAGCCTTTTTCTTCTTTCATGGTTTATGCCATCACAATGGTGTCATACTGCACAGATGATATTTTTGATGGTTGTACTGTTCTATTTGATGCGCAAGACTTTATGTTGACTTAAAAAAATGATTCCACAGTAAGTAGAAATGTTACAGGAGTAAATAAAACACTCTGCTTGGAGTTGAGAGAATTAAACATCTCCTGACTAGAGGAATGATTAGATCTGTAAAGAAAACTAACTCTTTCTCCAGCTGCTCTACTCTCATTTCATCTGTTCATTTGTTGGATCTAATCTTTTATTTTATTTATTTATTTATTTTTCAGGTTAAACAGATGACCAGCTCTCTTAAAAGAAAATCAGACTCCAATTCAGCCAACGATGAGGACGGTCCCTCTCCTCCACGGCTCCCACCCGTTAGAGAACGCACCTCAGCACTCCCGGCCAACCCTGTGGACGCAGGTAACAACACAGAAACATGTCTATGTGTATTACTCTCAGCAGGCTTATTGCTGCTGCTGAAAGATAACACGACTAATAAAAAACAATATTTACTTCCTCACTGCTTTCAGGCTCCGGTGCTGTTCCTCCTCCGACTGCCTCCTCTCCTTCTCCGGTGCTGTCGGTGTCCCGTGGGGCCTGCGGTCACGGGGAGAGAGCTCCACCTCCTCAAGCGGTGGTGAAACCGCAGGTTTTGACGCACCTCATCGAGGGCTTCGTCATCCAGGAAGGGGCGGAGCCTTTCCCTGTAAGTACACGGGAGTTGTAGTTTTAGAAGGAAATGCATTGAGAAACATCGGTCTGCTGTTGACTGAACTTTTTCATGCCTTTTGTGTTTGACTCACAGGTGTGCGGTCCGGTAAAGGATTCGACCGGCGAAGATTTGACCAACGACAGTCCAGACACGAACCAATCGGAGACGGTTACCACGGCAACAGGTAATAGCTGGGAAAGCACTGCTGCCTTCTTGGTGTGTTTGAGGATTGGAAATCAGAGATCTAACGCTGTGGCTACACTGAACATATTCAGCGTAGATTTGCTGCAAATTGTTTTCGTAGCTACACCTGCAGCGACTGTTTAACGTATTGCTGCGGCAAAACAAGATGGTGAGCTTTTATTTGGGATTGTTGTGGCGCAGTACAGCGTTGTGAAAACTTTTACCAAGTTTGCGTCGTACTGGTAAGTTAAGTTCTGCTGACTACAGCAGACTCTGTAAAGGATAAAGTTACCAAGCAACCACCAGCTGGTACTGGCATATAAATACCAAGATACACACTTTATGGTCCGTTCTGTGTAAAAGGGCCACAAACAGGTAGTGTAACAAATCTGAACAGAAAACTGGCCTGATTTTACTTCAGCAGTGGTGACATCAACAACACATGTGCACCACTTTTGTGCTGCTCTTAAACCTGTTGTGGGCGCTTTCATTGATTATAGTGGAACCACAGTGATGTAAACATCCATTAGTCTTCAGTGTAGCCACAGAGGGGGTGTAAAACATTGTCTCAGGTGTCATTCATGGTATTTCTGACTTGATATTATCTCTGTATGAGCTTGTGCACTATTTAAAATCCTCAAAATATGCAACAAAATATTATTTAATACCAATATGCTGCTGCTAAACAGCTGTGTAGTTAAAAGCCAGCGATGTAAATCTGTGCTTCCAGCTAAATGTCAGTGATAATCAGCTAATTAACCTTGCGAAATATAATTAGCATAGCATGGACGGAGGAGTACAGGGTTTTATGTCTTGTAACAAAATGGCCCTTGTTTGTTTGAACTGTTATGAACGGAAATAAGGAGAGGTTTTAATTACAGCTTTCAAGCTGGAAATTTCCCACCTCTGGCTCTGAGGGGCGGCATGACAACGCTGTGACAGAGCATGTCCTGTTTGCTCTGTGTGGGATGATGATGACAAACAAGATGTTGAAAAACGTTTAATGAAATTTGCAGTTTAGGATGTTTACATGTGTAATAATATCATAATGCAGTTTGTGGTATCAGAGTGCAACTGTGAAGCATGGTGAAGTTGTGGTTAAGGTTCTGTAACATTAAAGTAACCACAGCTTAATATTCCATCTAAAGGTTTATGTTCATATTGTGTCAGTATTTTATCAGTCTAATAACTTAAAAGGCAGACTGATGCCAACAGCACCTGATGAAGCCACGCTGATGGAGCATTAATTGTGATAAATGTAGTATACATGCAGAAATAAACACCAGATAAGTTTTAAGTTACTTTATTGTATTATTATTATTACCATTTTGCTCCTGTTACATTTTAACTCACTATGAGCTCATTTTTCACCACAATATAAAGTCCTGCACCTCTATGGAAACCATGGCTAGAAGGAGAAAGAACTCCAAAATGTCTTCTGTGCAGCATGACACAGTTGCAACACCATAAATCATAAAAGAGAGGAAAAAGGTTACACTTCTACGATTATTTGTTTTCCAAAAAAAAAGACTTGAATCAACATGTCCAACATTTTTCCAAGTGCCTACAGGTGTTGAATTTCCCCCTGATTACATCAATTGTGAATTCTTTTTCCTCCCTTGGAGAAGAAAGCAGAGTGTCTCATTGGTGCAGCTCTGGCAGCACTGCACCCGTCAATGCAACACATTTCCTGTAGTGCATATTCTAGAACTGCTGTATTTACCGTCTGCTCTCTCTTTCTGAACTTTCCCCTCAGTGCTGAAGTGTGAGTACTGTAAAAACTTTGCTCCTGCCAGCCAGTTCAGAGGCACCAAAAGGTTCTGCTCCATGTCTTGTGCCAAGAGGTACTTTCCAATGCATGAAATATATGATGTACAGTGGCGGCTATCTGAGAACGAATCACCGTACTGTCTCTTCTCATTTGCAGTGCAGATGCTGTGCTGTGACTGGGGTTTTCACAATACCGAAGTCATTGAAAAACTCAAAAAATGCTGTAGTTGTGGTATTATTCCTCTTTTATTTTAATTTTTTAGTTGTCACATTTTAAACTTGAACATCAAAATCTAATTTAAACTGATTTTATGTGTAATATTTGTGTATTATACCCCCCAAATTCTCCCGAAAACCTGATCTCAGCGTCCTAAAATGCTGTTGTGTGCGACAGTTTGAGTGTGAATTCTCAGGTGGTTAAAGCTGTATATTTCACAGCATGTGTGTTTCCTGTTCTCATCATTTGTTGGTACATGTGAGGACAGTAAAAATCCCATTTCATCCACTTTCCTCTTCATGTGAACTCACAGTACGTCTGTCAAACAGCTCAGGAGGTTTCGTTGACGTGTTGTCTTTTGAATTTGCTCCGTGATAAAAAGCATTTATTACATTCCCACTATGTAAACAATGCATCGCCCGCATTGTTTGTTACACTGCGTTGTCATATGATTTTACATTTTTCTGCTTCTGCTTTGCATTTGTCCCTTTGCCCACTACAGGCGTATAGCTTATATACCACGTATGGCGCAAAGAGACAAAAACTGTGTGTTGCTTCGTCTTGCTTTCAGTACCGTATATGTCACTCTTTGTCTACGATACAGTATGTATTGGTTCCCCAGGTACAACGTCAGCTTCAGGCAGCACTTCTGCGTGCGGCAGGGTCACAGCCAACGCCAAGCCCAAGATCACGCTCCGGATCAGGACCAGAACCAGGGTCACCTCTCCAACTCGGACGAGGAGGGAGGCATAGCCAGGAGGAGGGTTCCCCGCAGGACCAGCTCTGAGATAGCCAGCGCCAAGATAGCTGGGAGACCCATACCAGTCAAGGTGAGACGAGAGTCAGCAGGTGCTACAAGGGATGGGGTTTAAGAAAAAAGACAGGGAATTGTTTAATTATTAGCATCCGGCTCATTGATCAGGCTGTGGCTTTAGTTCGCCATGATGTAGCAAAAGACACCCAGCAGAGTTAAATCTGCTCTTATTGGAGGCTGGTGAGGATTAAAATGGTGCAAGATAGATTTAGAATTCTACTTATACTGTGCACCACAATTAGCAAAGAAGACTTGATAACGCTTAGCATTATCAGTCCATTTATTTGCAGATTAATTCAGTTCTGTATCATCCCGCTGAGAGAAATTTAGCTTTCAGCATGTTTTGCTTTAAAATGATGTGGACACCTAAACTTTATTCTCATTTGTCAGTATTAAAAGTCTCATTCCAAAATGATGTGATCTAACCATCTGAATGCCAAAATCTGCCAGCCAATTTGAGATTAAAAGATTTCCAAAAAGACACCATTTACAAAAACTGTAAAAACAGAAAGAATCTTCATCTTTCTGATGGTGCTTGAAGTACTCATGTGTGACTTGACATAAAAATTCAACAGATCTAAGCTTACAATCACAATATTTCATCAAAATCACTCTTCTACACGTCACATTTTAAAAAACTACCAAAAATATACTGTTGGCAGTAAATGGATTCTTTAAAAATCAGAAAATTCTGTGCTAATTTGCACAACAGTGGAGCCATTGCTGACTCAGCTGTGACCAATGGCTACGTGACAAAAATTGAGAGCGTTTTGTAGCTGAACTGCAGGCAGCGTTTATACAGGGCCTTGAGGAGACAAGCATGGAAACAGTTTAAAAAGTTAAATGTCAGTAGTATGAAAAGCCACTGTTTTTTTTTCCAGTGTTAGTAACACCTATGAGCACTTGGAAAAACATTAGATGTGGTGATTGCAGGATATTGCCATTTTTGAAAAATAAATAATGCAGAAATTTCACATTTCCTTTTTCTTTTTTGATTATTTATGGCATTCAAACTGTGTCACGCAGCACAGAAGACATGTTTGAGGTTTTGTTTCTTCTTGTCATGGTTGTTCTGTTTCCAAAGAGGTGCAGGACTTTATGTTGCAATGAAAAATGAGCCCACGGTGACGAAAAATGTGACAGGAGCAGAAAAGAGTCAGCCTGCTTGGTGTTCAGAGGGTTAATATGCTGCTACAACCAATTTCACAAGGGCTTAACTGTTGGTTGAAGCAAACTCGTAAAAGCGTTTCTTTACGGACTTGGCATTTTAGACACAGGAATTGTCATAGTGAAACAAGACACAAAGTGTTACCACAAGGCTGGGAGTGCACTTATCTAAAATATCACTCAGCCTTGGACCAAAAGTACACAAAAGTATGTGGGCAGACTTCATATGCGTAGTGTGGAGTAAACCTGTGATTAAAAACAGAACAACACACACAGAAAAAGCATGTAAAAACCAAACAATGCATTTTTGAGTTGTATACTTCATCTTTCAAACACTGAAGATGAGCTTTTGTGCCCTCTAGTGGCTGTTGTGAGGCCTCACTGACTTTACAACAACCCACGAAACCAGGATCAGCCACTTACAGTTGTTCTCAAATGTATTCATACCCTCCTATTAAAGAAGGAAAAAAAGCAGCTGTCACTGGAATAAGTTGAAATTGACAAAAGTATTAATAAATAAGAATTTAATGAAAACCATGACATTGCTTTTGAATTGTGGTTCAACAGAAATATTTTTAAAAAAAACTCTCAGTCAGACTTCTGCACCTGTTGACAGGTATTTTGATTTTGGCCCACTGCTCATCAGCACAGTGCTCTTAATTTGTCCGGGACAATTTAAAAAAAAAAAAAAAAAAAAAAAAAAAGATTCATTTCAATCACAATTCAAAAGTAATGTCTTATTCCACTAAATTATAATTTAGCAAAATCTATTTATTAGTACTTTTTTCAGTTTCTAGTTGTTTGAGTGACTGTTGTGAATTTTGCCTTTTCTTTAATGGAAGGGTATGAATAAATTTGAGGACGACTGTATCTTCTCTCGTGACGGCTGCTTCATTGTTTTAGAGCTTCTTATCTTTGACGTTCTCCTTTTTTATATACCATCAGAATTTAGCCTTGTGAGGCTTTCATCTCTTTATGCTCAGACAGGGTTTTAGCATTGCACCGCTTCACTCTAGTAAACAGTCAAACTAAGATACCAGTGCAACCACAGTTTCCTGCCTTGCTCATCGTCTCCTCTGCTTTCCCTCCCGTCACCCGCAGTGCCGTTCAGAGTCCAGCCATTCAGACGAGGAGTCCAGCGGGGAGGAGGATGAAGACGACCCCATGTCCCTCTCGCCTGCATCCTCAGCTTCCTGCCACCAGCAGCCTCCTCCACTCCCAACGGAGAGCTCGGCGCCCAGCTGCCTGCCGACCAGTCCGGCCCAGTGGAGTGTGGAGGACGTGTCGCAGTTTATTTCCTCGCTACAAGGTTGGTACAGCTGACTTCTGACCTTCTTTTAATGCTGTTTCAGGTGGTTAAAGACTAGCAGGACTTTAAAGTGGAGGGGAGGCGCTTTTTCTGACGATAACAACTTCATTGTTGCTTCACATAAATACATAGGACACTGCAGTCATACAGATTTACGATAGAACCTGTCAGGAAAGTTAGTCAAATCTAAGCAGGTTCTGGTCATTTTCCTGCACCTCTGTGGAAACAGCACAACCACAACTAGAAGAAGAGAGAACTCAAAAATGTCTTCTATACAGTATGACACAGGTGCAATGACTAAAATCATAAAAAAAAAGAAAGATTGATAGTTTAATTTTCTTTTTAAATGTATTTTCTAAAAATAAAAAAAACAACTCATCAACACATCCAACATGTTTCCATTGTTTTCATACCTGCCTTCTTTCAGCTCTGTGTATACACTGCCTGCAGTTCAGTTGAAAACTAATGATTACCTGGTTGCATCAAGAAACAGATTTTTGTGGCAAAATTTTAAATGAGGCATGCTTAATAAAGTGAGTTTCATTAATTATTGTGATTTTACTGGATGTCATAGAGGACAGGTCCAGTTTCTGTCTTGTTTTCTTTCCCACATCTTTGTTTCCCTTATCGTTCCAATCATTGCCTACCTCCGTTTTCAGTTTTCACCAAACAATACAACTCAGTAGTGTCTTTTCTGGTATTTTATTCAAGTGCTTACGAATGGGCTGATAAGCATTCCCACATCTTTGCGGTATAGTGATGCACAGGCTTGTTACCCAGAAAGAACCCAAGATTTCTCCCATGAAAGCTGAGAGAATTGTTGAGAGTTGTTTTTTTCCAACACACGACTTGTATTCTTCTTCCTCTCAGGCTGTGAGGAACTCGCCTCCCAGTTCCTGTCGCAGGAAATCGATGGCCAGGCTCTGCTGCTGCTGAAGGAGGAGCATCTCATGTCCACCATGAACATCAAGCTGGGTCCTGCCCTCAAGATCTGCGCTCACATTAACAACCTGAAAGATTGATGTCCGCGTTTCAATAAATCCACCGATGTTTAAGCCCCGGGCATTCACCCCAAACTCCCGTTCTGCACCCAGATCAGACGTGAAACTGGCTCCAGAGCAGGCGAATGTAAGAGGTACTGTTCATTTTGAGCCGAGACTGTGGCTGCAGAGTCTGCTGTTGGCTTGTTCGGTCACATTTGCACAGGAATATTGTCGCTTCCTTGCAAAGCTGTCATGTCTGCAAACATACTACAAATGGCCAGCTATATTTTGTTGTCCCCAAAATCAGTACTTGCAGTCAGAAGAAGTCTTTTAAAAAAATGCATAAATGAAGGTTTTGAATGTATGTTAAATGCAGAAATCACTTGTAAGATGTAATGAGCAAACAAGGAACAAGTTAAGTCTACAGTACCTGCACAGGATTCACACATTTTTGAAGTTATCTACAAACAGAGCTGCTCTTTTCACAGACTTCTGTTATTAAAGTCATTTGTTCAATCTCCTTTTTCAAACTGGGTTCAACTAAACGATTAAAACAGAAGGAAAACCTGATGAAGACACTATTTTTTTATTCGGTGAGAACGTCTCTTGGTTCCCATCT